TAGCTATCTCTACCAAATTTAATCGACGGTCACTCCAAACAATTTTATGGATTTTGAGAACTACAAAGTCGTTTTTGGCTTACATGGGAGCTGTGTATTCTTAGGGCTTATACGGCCACGTTTAAAAACTGCAAGAGATGTTTTGACCATTAAAAATAGTGGAGCAGACTCGCCTAAATTAGAATCTAGCTCAAGTTTAATTTCTGATGGACAAAAAGCCTTAATACTAAAATATATAAAAATATTTTATGACAGCTCGTACTTAGAGTTTCTCTGTTATTTAAAAAATTAGGAACATAATTAATATAGTGTGCTGTAACAAACTACTGGATCCAAACGTACAATATTTTACAATGTGTTATAAAGACGAAAATTTGGGACCCTTTTCGTCCGTGTTTCATACATTATTTTTTATTTATTATAGATATTAAAAACTATAAAAATTAAATCCAAACTGATAACATTTCCAATTTTTCTTATAAATGAGGTGACTGTGACCGATAAGAATATGTTTAATTTAAATTCATTTTTGATAAAAATTAAACAAGTGCTGTCATATCAGTGAGCTTGTGTGTCAAATCGATTAAATATTAGTTTATTTAGTTTTTCTCCTAATTAATTAAAATCGGTTCTTTTTAAAAACTTTTCGATTAGGTTTTCTATCCTAAAAATTACGTTTTATAACACATTCGGAAAAAAATAGTGACATTAAATAAATCAATAAATAATTAATCAAAATCATACCTTACTGCAGGCCAGACTTGAAATTATTCATCCCATTTTCAAATATTTAGAAGCAAGAAAAATAATAAAAACAACAAAACAAATTATAAAATGGCCAAAAATATTTAAAAAATAATATACACTAGGCCTTCATCTTCTTGGAAAATATTTATTTGCTTCCGGAAAAACTTATTTCCGTTGTTTTTCGTTTACAAACAGCTGTAGAAATATTTCTTTTGAGCATCCAATAGTAGTTGGCCATCATGTTGACATCCCAGCGCTCCTGATATCGCCTTTCTACCTCTTTAATCTTGATTATATTAGTTCTCTTTCTCTTTACTAACATCACCGACCTTATCCGGAAAATTGTCAAGATGAGCATGTAAAAAGTGAATTTTTATACTCATATCACAACCTAATATTCTAAATATATTAAAGATCTTTCCGAATATACTTTTATGTTCTTTTTTATAGTTTCCTAGGAACTTACTTACAACTGCTGTTAAAGCTTTTCGTGCCTTTTTATCTCAATCTTATTTGTAGCTTCAGAAAAAGCCGGAAAAGTTTTATACAAGTACTTAAAACAACCATCATTGTTTTCTGAAACTTTCACAAATTATTTCAGTATCAATTTTACAGGTGGAGGTGTCTATATTTTCTTGAAATTAACTAGGCTTTCTTGAATTATAATTTTGAAGCCTGTATTAAATTTTTTCTAGGTAACCCGATTTTTTGGTCCAGCGCTCATTCATCTCTTGCTCTACTGCTCCACTCGCATCAGAACATGAGTGTTTGGTAGAATGGGCCGTTTTTGCTTTTTTCGACTTTTTCGGGGGGCTTATCGTGGAAAGTAGTTTAAAATAAACTTGTATAAAATATTATTTCATTTTGATAAGTCTTTCTGCCTCCGGTCTGTAGTCAAAGTTTTGAAAATTTTGAAATTTGTATTGGTAAGAGTTTATAATAAAGTAATAACTATGTTTTTTGATCGAATTAAAAACTATAATGTTTCTACTTAAGAAATTGGATTATACGTAACTCTCCTCACATATGCTAAGTGTGAAGTAAGAGGAGGAAAGGGAGGTAGAAAACATCAACACATCGAAAGACTCGCGCACTTCAGACTTTAGTTCAGTAGTGCTGTGGCTTCTTGAGATTGAGGTGTGTTGCTGTTACGCTCATTAGCACATTTTAGGATAGATTGTACTGGTGAAAGGTAGAAATTTTCTTTGTTTGGTGATACATGTAATTTAAAAGACAATATGTTACCGACATACGAAGATATCTTTAAGTTCTATGAGTGGAGTCGTCGCCGAATAAAACTGAACCAAGGTATAAAAAAAGAGTCCACGTATATGGAAATAGATGCTATTGTGGTAAAAAACGTTGCAAAAATATGGGGTAAGGCTTCTATTTCTTCTACAGAACATAAAGAAGTGAGAGTTTTGTTAAAGGTAAAAATCTCCTAAAATTCCATCCAAAAATACTAAAGATTAAATTAGAAGATTTTCTCCGTACCAGTAGAGTTTTGTGATATTTAATCCTGCAAACGTAAGGAGATATCTAAATGTACTTGTCCTAGAGAGAAAAAAAGTTTCTCTACGAGAGCACAACTTTCTGATTGATCAACGAACGACTAGGAATATGTTCATTAGAAGCAAAGCTACCGTTAAATCGAAAAACTAAATAACACATTGAAAAGGAAATAATTAAAGACATCCAAAGTCTCAGCCTCAAAAAAAGTCAATGTTTTGTTTTCATTAGCATCAGAATGCACTACATCGGATGAAGATGATAAATTCGATCTACTGAGGCAAGTCGAAATAATGAAACCTCCTATCAAACAGCCCTATTCTAAAAATATAGACTATGATTTGCATTTAACGACTTTTGACAAATTTGGTTTCTCAGATAAAGCTTTAGCAGCCATTGTCTCCTCAGTGCTACATACTTCCAGTGAAGAAGTTATAGATAAAAATCGGATTCGCGAAAACGTACCAAAACAAAAAAAAAAAGCTGTGAAGAGAACCAAAATCTTCAAAGTACCTACTTTATACTTCGAAGGAAGAAAATATAAAACTTTCATTATATTGAAAAAAGACGGGAAAATGTATATAGAGAGAATTCTTGAAGAGCACATTTCGTTGATTAATGAACAAGAAACCAAATTCTTGGGTTATATTGCACCAGATTTTGGAATTTCTGAATGTATAGAAAAGTAAATTACCGATTTCTCCCTGGAACAAGAAAGGACCCCGCAATAATCTTATGAAAATTGTGTTTCTGTCAAATTGTCTGAATTTTTGAGATGTTGTAGATTTTGTCATCCTGAACAAAAGTCTCCATGGGCACAAAGTTCCAAAATGAATATTTTGGCAGCTATGGAGCTGCCAAAGCTCCCCTGACCCGTTGCAAAACTATTCATTTTAAATACTATATACAGATGTCAAAAGCATATTTTAATTATTCTAATATATAGGGTAATGTTTAAGAGGTCACTGGATTCAACCCTTATGTCAGATTGGACAAATTAACCGTTGACAGCTGTCAATTCACTGTCAACGAGGAATATAAAAGTAAATATTTTCTTTTCACATTGAGAATTTGGGTTTTTGAGGGCGCTGAATTCAATTCTCATGTCAAATTGAACAAATTGACAGTTGACAGCTGTCAATTGACTGTCAAAGAGGAATATAAAAGTAAATATCTTCTTTTTACATTAAGAGTTTGGGTTTTTGAGGTCGGTGAATTCAATTCTCATGTGAGATTGGACAAATTGACCGTTGACAGCTGTCAATTCACGATCAACGAGGAATATAAAAGTAAATATCCTCTTTTCACATTGAGAGTTTAAGTTGGCCAACTCGCTAAATTCAATTCTTTTTAGAATTGGAGAAAATGGTAGTTGACAAACTCTCAATAGCAAAAGAGAATATTTTATTCTTTATTCTACTTTGACAGTGAATTGACAGCTGTCAACTATCAATTTTTCCAATCTGGCATGAGAATTGAATTCAGCGACCTCAAGAACCCAAACTCTCAATGTCAACAGAGAATATTTACTTCTCTATTCTTCGTTGACAGTGAATTGACATCTGTCAAGTGTTAATTTGTCCAATCTGACATAAGAATTGAATTCAGCGACCTTAAAAACCCAAACTCTTGATGTGAAAAAAGGAAATTTACTTTTATATTCCTCGTTGACAGTGAATTGACAGCTGTCAACGGTCAACTTGTCCAATCTGACATGAGAATTAACTTCAGCGACCTCAAAAACCCAAACTCTCAATGTGAAAAGAGGATATTTACTTTTATATTCCTCGTTGATATTGAATTGACAGCTGTCAACAGTCAATTTGTCCAATCTAACATGAGGGTTGAATCCAGTGACCTCAAAAACATTGCCCTATATATTAGAATAATTAAAATATGCTTTTGACATCTGTAAATAGTATTGAAAATGAATAGTTTTGCAACGGGTCAGGGGAGCTTTTGCAGCTCCGTAGCTGCCAAAATTTTTATTTCGGCACTTTGTGCCCATGGAGACTTTTGTTCAGGATGACAAGATCTACAACATATCAAAAATTCAGACAATTTGACAGAAACCCAATTTCCATAAGCTTATTGCGGGGTCCTTTCTATAGATAAATTGCAGGCGGTGGGATATGTGATGGAACCAATGTAAACGTTGTTAAGCAAAAAGGTATTATTCGTCTGCTTGAGAAACATTTCAACAGACCGCTTCAATGGATAATGTCTCTTCTTCACATAAATGAACTGCCTTTTCGTCACTTGTTTCTGCACATTAATGGCAGCACATCTGGACCCAAAACATTTTCAGGAACAATCGGTAAATATCTATAAAACTGTAAAGAAGCCTGTTGTTCAATTTTACCCATTCATGCGGTGTTATCCGAGGTATCTGCAGAGTGTATAAGCACTGACCAAAAATATCTGTATAAAATTGTATTAGCGGTAACAACAGGTAAATTTCCTATTGATTTAAGAAAGAAGTCCCCAGGGAAAATGTCTTATTTCCGATGACTAACTCACGCTAATAGAATCATGCGTTTGTATTTTTCGTCAGAATATTCTTCTAAAAACCTAGTGGTTCTTGCAACGTATGTTATTAGGGTTTACGCATCAATCTGATTTGCAATCAAAACTCACTCATCATGTAAAGATGGAGCGCGACAATTATACCAACTTATATCTACCAGCAGATACGTACCCACAGAACTGAAAGCTATAGTCGTCCTGAAAATCTTTTGCTGACAATGGTGACTGATTCTCAAAAGCACATACTTGAACTAGACACAAGTCGCATTTTAAAAGCTCGTAGCATTCAAAGAAATAGACTTGGATTTTTTCAAGTTCCTTCTTTAAACCTCAATGCATCATCCTACGTCGATCTTATTGACAGGCAGGATAAAATACCAGAACCATCAATATCAAAACTGATATCCAAAGAAGATATCCAAATGTTTATGGCACAAGAAGAAGGAGACTTGCCACTACTACTTTTGACATGCCACACTCAAGCAGTTGAAAGAGCAGTGAAGACTATTACTGAGGCTTCAGCCAAGTTGAACAAAAAAAAAATATGAAGAAGGTTTCAAGAAAGTCCAAACTAAGTCTCGTAGCTTTGACTATAAGCAAGAATTTTGCCCTAATTTGTAATGCTATGAGTTAACTTTATGTAAGCATTTTTGTACCTTTTATTATTTCAATACATAAAATACAACAATTTTACAATTAAATTTTATTAATCCTTTTTCACCGTGCTGCAAATATACAACTTTTTTCAAATATCTGTAAAATCAAAGACAGTCCGGAGGTAGAAGATGAAATCCGATTTAAATCATATTTTCTATGCGATTTAAAGACATTAAAGTACGCCCTTTTCTCGATGAGCCCGAAAGGATTTTTTTTTCTATCCATACAGAACGACTTAACCTAGTGTTTGCTATATTCGGATTGTTGACCCAAAAGCAGTGTTAAAATTTTAAGGCTCCCATATCTTAATATTGGTTTACAAAAAAAAAAAAACAAAATAGAAGCAAAAAAACTAGTTAATTAAGTTAGTTGCAAGTCCTAATTAATCAGACAATACTTAAACGAGACCTCTGTGATATAATAAATGTCCTAAAATTTATTTATACATACAATTATTATGCCTGCAATATAGTAACCACTAATTTGAAATGATGAGATTCAATGGCAGCTAGTTTTTTTCTAGTATTTCAAATTTTTTTCAGTATCTTTGCGGCAAGGGTAAAGGCATACGATATAATCATGAAAGAAGAAAGTGGAATTAATGGGAAAACCTTAAAAGATACGATGTTAATACAAGACACAAAAAATAGATAAAACTAGAAAACATTACTACACATAAGATACTGTAATGGAAAAAGAATATTTCGAGAAAACAAAGATATTGACTACTTGTGCTAAGTTTCGTTTTTTTTTTTATCAAACTTAAAATCCCAATCGTATATTTTCTCATAATTTTTTCATTTTTTTTTTTACCAAACTCTCCTCTTTTTGTAATAAACGGCTGGCCTGTCTATTTATTCCATTTTTTTAAGAATATCGTTAATTAGAGGACAAACAATTTGACTCACTAATTTGGCAAATGTATTAAAAATACAAAATTAACAAAATCCAACAACCTTAATATATATTTATTACGCCACTGCTGCCAAACGACTCTTACGGATGCGGCGACTTTTTCAAACAGTAATTCTCCTCCAATTCAAGTCAATTTACCAAACAATTTGACAATCACGAGATTCACAAAACTACCAGAGATTTTCTAAAAAAAAAAAAAATCAATATACTCTAAAACCTGCCTTTCTAAAATATAAAATGTATGAGGGATAGAGTATACAGCGTATATCGGCAACTAAAATAATTAAAGTGGGCCTACTTAAATTAAAGCGAAAATATAAATTTTTAATTCATAAGTAATAATTATGAAGTACAAGAAAATAGAAACCGAATCAACAATAATGAAATATAAAATTTATAGTAAGAAAAAACAATCTTAAAGCAATAGACCAGAAGAATATCACAAATTTTTGCTTTAATAATTGGTTAGTGGAAAATATAGAATACTTTTTATTTTAAGAAATATTTTCTGTAAATTTATATAAAGGATAAGGGTGCGATTTCAGTATATTTCCCAAAATAAGAAGATCGTATCTATCCCAGGCAGCACACATTAGTATAACTTACGTATTTTATACGTAATACTCCTTTAATTTTGGTATTAGTTGTTTCCGTATACGTTTACAGTTTACTATTATTATACATACCGTGTTTTAAACGATATATTATGTTTTTTTATATACTATACATCCTATAGTATATAATTGTAAATTTTTCTACGTTTAAATATAGTTAATAATATACGACTATTTTTAGTTTGCGATGAATTATTTATATACAGTGGGTCTAAATATTCGTTTAGGTTTATTTAAATTAAATTCGTATAAATTTACATAATATTACAATATTTGTTCTTCGTTTATAATTCCCATTTAAATTTCGTCTTTGTTGATTTTTTAAACGTTTACCATCTACAATTTTTAAACTTAACGTTCTTTAACAGATAAATTAAACGTTTTTTTTTTGACACTAGTTAATATACCTACATTATTCTACGTTTAAATATAAGTCACCTTAAACTCATAATACCAGTTTACGATGAACTAGTAGACAGAAGTAAATAATATGTATATATTAAGGTTTATTTAAATTAAAAGCTTATAGATATATTTATTTACATTACATCCATATTTTTTTAATTATTACCTGTAATATTTATAACAAATTTCCCCTACAAACGGAACTATTTTTAGATGGCGGATGGAGGATGACGTACTAGTGGTACGGTCTTTTCTCATTATTACTCATGCGTATGTGTAGTATTATTGTTCAGTGTAGGGAATGGTTTGTGGCAGAAGGTTAGTCTATTTTCATTTGTGTACACGTTTTGTTGCTTTGGCGTCCTGGCTTTTACGATATTGATTAAAAACATAGGTAAGTTTCTATTAATGTTTTAATTTAGCTACTCCTTTAATAATTGTTGCATTTTATAACAACTACTGTTTTATAGCTAGGTACAGTGTATAAAATCCTTATAGAAACTCCAAAACATAACCTTCTCTTATTTTTTTGATCAGTTGTTTTTTATTTAATAAAATGTCTAAAATAACCCTGTCTCGGCGTCATCTACGTAGAAAAATAGCACAAAATGTTTAAGATGCTTTAAAATCAAATCAATTTTTTTTATTCCAAATGAGGATAACATTAATAAGGCTTCGGACATAAATATATCATCTGATTCTATTATTTATAATAATTTCCAAGAAAATAATACAAATTTAACTTCGGAGCTTTTAGAAAATATTTCACCTGAAATTGAGTTACATTTTGGTTATAGGAATGGGGTGAACCAAGCGACTTAACCGACCGAACGGTTAGGTGTGCTATGCAAGATTGGCTTAAGTTAGCTAAGGCCCGTCTAGGACACAACACATCCAAAGTGTTAAGCTAGGATTTTAATTTTCATATATATTTTTTGTTATTTAAAGAAAAGTTCCGTTTAGTTTGTTATTCAGTATTTTATTGTTTATTTTTTAGTACTTATTTTTTTTTTATTTTTATTAGCATCAACCACTAGGGTTATTAGCTATTAACTAAATATTACAATTGGTTAATTACATTAATCATTTTCTAGAAATTGAATAATTTAACAAAATTACAATTAAGTCCTAATAATTTATTTAGGTCATTTGGAAGTGAAGTAATTTGTCTTTCTTGGGTGAATTTAGGACAGTTTATTAAAATATGGGGGATGGTTAGGTCAGTATTATACAAATCACAAACTGGTCGGGTTGTCTTGGAAATTAGGTAGCTATGTGTTAGTCTTGTATGGCCGAGACGTAACCGTGTTAATGTGACAAATAACGATCGGTTTATGATTACTTCGCACCAAGGTTGAACTGACGATTTGATTTTACGTAGCACTGATCGCGAACTTTGCCACTGATTTTGCCATTCACTTATCACTTTGTCTTTGACAAATGATTTTACATCCGCAGATATCATATTTTCCACTACCGTTGAGGTATTACTGTTAACGGCTTGACGAACGAGAGCATCTGCTTTTTCATTTTCTGGAAGCCCTACGTGTGATGGAACCCATAGAAAATGTGCCTTTAAGTTATTATCATGAAGTTGTGATAACTCGGATTTGATAAGAAGTCCTAGTGGATAATTGGTATATAGCTGTTTTATAGTGTGTAGAGAGCTGAGAGAATCTGTTACTATGAGTGATTTGGATAAATTTTGTTGATTAATGAGAGTGAGTGCTTGCAAGATGGAATATAGTTCTGCTGTATGAATGCTGGTGGAAGAGGGTAATTTGAATTCAAAATGTGAGTTGGGGAATACAACCGCTGAACCTACACCTGTGGTAGATTTAGATGCGTCTGTGTATATATGATAATAGTCTTTGTAGCATGCAATTTTATTAATAAATAGTTGTTTAATAATTGAATGAGGAGTATTCGACTTTTGGTACTGGGTAAGAGATAAGTCAAAGGATGGAAGTGGAATGATCCAAGGCGGAGTGTTTTCATTTGCTTTGAAAACTTTAGGAAATTGAATATCTAATGAGCATACGTATCTGTTGACTCTCTCATAGAAAGGTGGATCTAAGCGAGGTTTACTATTGTATATTTCTTTGAATCTATTTGCAATGGTGTGATGGAGTGTGGGATGAGATTTTTCACCAAGTATTGTAGATGCATAGGCTAGTGAGAGATATTTCCTTCGATAGTCCAAAGATGGTTCACCAGTTAAACACTCCAGACTTCTAACTGGACTCGTTCGATACGCTCCTGTGGCTATTCGCAGTGCTGAATTTTGAATAGAATTCAGTTGAGAAAGTACTGCATTTTTGGCTGATGAGTAGACCACTGATCCATAGTCTAGTTTTGATCGGACTAGGGATTTATAGACATATAAGAGACTTTTGTAATCTGACCCCCAGTTTTTGTTGCACAAGGTTTTCATTAGATTAAGTCCATTTTAGCAAGATCTTTTAAGGTACTTAACATGTGATTTCCAGTTGAGTTTTCTATCGAATGTCATGCCCAGGAATCTTATATTTTCTACAAATGATAAATTATTTCCATATATTTTGAGATTTGGTGTTATTGGGTTATGTTTTTTAGAGAAAAGGACACATTTTGTTTTAGTTGTCAAAAATTTTAATCCTACTTCGTTCGACCATTGTTCTAAGCCATTTAAAGCAGATTGAAGCTTATTTTGGAGGGTTTGGGTGTTTTTTCCTTTCAAAAATAACACGAGATCATCGGCGTACAGTCTTGCTTTTACAAGTTTAGAGTTATTATCTAGAATTTTGTTTATTGCTGTCAGAAAAAGAGTAGTACTTATGACCGAACCTTGGGGAATGCCATTAATTTGAGATTTAGTTTTAGATGTAGAACCATTTACTCGGACACTGAACTGACGATTACTAAGAAAATTGTTTATAAAATGCAGAATATTTCCTTTGGCATTCCAGTTACTTAAAGTTTTGATGATATTCCATGTCATATCAAATGCTTTAGTGATGTCGAAGAAAACAGTGAGACATTCTTGTCCATTGGTGAAGGCTTCATGGATTTCCGATTCTAGATCGATTAGATTATCAGTGGTGGACCTTCTATGCCGGAAACCGCTTTGTTCTTTGATAATTAGATTGTTCTGTTCCAAGAACCACAGTAGTCTCTTATTCACCATTCTTTCAAGAATTTTACATACCACATTGGTGAGAGAAATCGGTCTGTAAGAGTCTGGATCGGTGCGATCTTTGTTAGGTTTTAGTACTGGTATTACTACGGCATCTGTCCAACTGGAAGGAAATAAGTGCTTGTGCCATATCATATTATATAATTTAAGTAAATATGTTTTTGCATTTTGGGGGAGTTTTTGTAGAAAGATAGCTGGTATATTATCAGGGCCCGGTGATGAGTTTTTAGTATTATTTAGAGAATAGTTTAGTTCGTCTATTGTAAATGTAGAATTAAGACTATTATTTTGATTATCATTGTATTCTACAGGTTCGGATTCTTTGTTAGTTTTCAGTGTAGTAAAGGTTTCAGAATAGTTTATGTTACTCAAGTTATTTTCATATTGTTCAGCAAGAAGTTCTGCTATATCTTGGTTAGATGACACTAATTTTCTGTTATTTGTTAAGAACGGAATCTTTTTAAATGTGTTACGACCGGATATTTTATTAATGTTTTCCCAAACTTTATTCAGAGGAGTAGTATTGTTAATCTCAGAGAGGAATTTTTGCCAGGAATTTATTCGACTCTTTTTGGTAATGAACCTTGTATGCGCACGACATTTTTTGTATTCTATGATGTTTTCTGGGGTATTATTTTTCTTTAGCTTGTTAAAAGCCCTTTTATAATTTTTTATGGCATCGGTACAGTTTGAGTTCCACCACGGAAGTGGTTTAGATTTGTGAACGATTTTAGTTTTACCAACATGTTCTTCTGATGCACTGAGGATGATGGATATAAAGCATTGCATTAGTTGATTGATGTCTTGTATTTCTGTTGTTTTTTCTAAATCGGAACATTTTGTTTCTATAGATTGTGTAAATTTAGACCAATCGGCTTTTTTAAGATTCCGTCTGAGATACAGGTGAGAATTTTCAGTGTTGTTGTTGTTATTCGTTTCTATGGAAATTTTAATAGGGTAGTGGTCACTTCCATATAGGAAAGGTATAACATCCCAGGAGAGGGCTGGTGATAAGATTGGATCGCATAGAGCTAAGTCAATGGTTGACTTGGAGCCAGTAAGAATATTATATCTTGTTGGTCTTCCATCATTTAATAAGTTTAGGTGTTTTGAATTTATTATATTTTCAATAATTTTCCCTTTGGGGTTTATCCCGTTAGAACCCCATATAGGATTATGGCTATTGAAATCACCTACGATTATTCTAGGTGAAGGTACCTGGTCTAGTAAATCTGTGATGTCTTTTTCCGTAATTTGTAAATTTGGAGGTATATATATATATATGTTACAAAGGTGAATTTTTTTAGGCATCGTAATAGATAATACAACAGTTTCTAAATTACTGACAACTGGTATAGACTGGGCTACAAATTTCTCACTTATGTATATAGCAATTCCTCCACTAGCCTTTTCTGCATTAATACGGTTTTTATGAAAACAAGTATACCCTCTTATATTATGTTTGTTTTGGCCTATAAAATTTGTCTCCTGTAAGCATATGATCGCTGGGGTAATTTCAGAGCATAGCTGTTTGAACATTTCAAAATGGGCGTAAAACCCATTTAAGTTCCATTGAAGTATAGAATCGAATTTGAATATTAAAAGTTAGTTACATTGTTTGCAGTTAGGTGTTTCGATATGTGTATTTGTTAAGGATTTTCTACAGTTTCTTGAGATGAGCACGAAGCATCACTGTCTGGGTCGGGTGTTGGGTCTGTATCCAGTAGTCTATTAATCTTGTTTTTCATTTTGGTACATTTTGTTTTTATTGATTTATCTGTGAAGAATGGTCTGAGCTTGGTAAGCATATCTAAAAAGTCAGGAATGTCAGTAGTATATGTTTTAATCAAGCTCAGAATGTCTTTAGAACCTGAACAATTTTCAAAAAAATCAGTAGTTTGGTCGTAAGTTAAGACGAAATTGTGTGATGGATTATCAAATAGTGTTTTTGTTGGCAACATCATTTCTTGGATTGATTTTTCTTTTAGGGGGTCAGCATTATGCCTAGACTTTTTTCGAGGTTTTGGTATCTTAAAGGTAGGTTCTTCATTTTCTTGATCGGGCGATGGTGTTGTATCAAGTTCAGATATGTTTCGCTTGTTTTTTGATAGTTCCGTTTCCATTTGAGTTTCATCGTTCTGTGTCATCACTGTTGGTATGACAGGTGTACCTAGCTTACTCTTTTCAACTGTTATTTGGGGAGTTTGGGCAGAAGGATTGCTGTTTTGTGAAGGTTGTGTTGAGCTCGATGGAGTGTTTTGAGATACTGGTGGTGGTGTGCATAACGATGGAGACGGCGTGGGTAATGATGGCTGGGATGATGATGGTGTGATTACAGATGTCGAGGGATTGGGTGTATTATGAAGTTGGTCCTTATTGGGACAATTCGGTGCAAAATGGTCAGGTTGTTTGCAAATAATGCAGGATGGTTTATCAAGGCTTATGAAAATTCGATAAGAGGTTTGTTCGTAGGTGATTAAGAATGATTCTGGCAGGGTTACATTTTCTAGAGGTTGGATATAAGTCTGTCTTCTAAAACTTAAAACGTGTTGAAATTCTGGAAGCTGACTGCTGATTTTTAAAAACGTTAAAGGTGATACTTGTTTGATGCCAAGCTTTTTGAGTTCGTCTTCAATAATATTGTGGGGGATTGAAGGGCAAACATTAGACAGTAACAGCCTCTCACTCGGAGTTATAAGTTTTCTTGCTCTAAGAATTTCATTTTTCACGTTTATTTCACCGGATTGAGATATAAATTGGTCTACTAATGATTCACTGGAAAGGTAAATGCAAATACGATTATTTGACAAACGTGAGGAAAATAATATATTTCTTGGCTCTATTATTTCTCCTAAAGCTACTAAATATTCTTCCAATTTGGTGTCGTCCAATGCATTGAATAAAATGGCTTGTTTTTTCGTAGGGAATGTAGGTGCATTTTTATTAAGAGCAGATGAGTATGATTGATTATTAGATGAATGGGATTGAACACTTGACATGGTATACTCCGAAATTTTCCTAAGTACGACCCTGTCACAGGTGTACTGTAGGTACTGATAACGGCTGGTTGTTTGTCCTCAATTAAACGTGGGTTGAATCAATAATTCCGTTTGTATATAATAATAATGGATAAAAATAACTCACAGTTGGTTTGTTGGATGAAGTATCTCTAATACTGTAACTTGATCACTAAATTATAGATTAAATTCACTTAATATCGAATAAAATTTAAGTTTTTCGGCACTGAAATGTAAACAATATGTATCATATCATGTTCAGGACCGGACTCCTAGTACTTATTTATTTTTTAGTATTTTATTGTTTATTTTTTTTTAATAAAATATTGTTCTGTACATATAACAAGTGATCAAAAAAATTTCCTAAATATTTAGGCCAATTACAACTAAAATAGAAACACGAGTAATGCATATTTCTGGTACACACACCTGCTATGGATGAAATCCAAACTGTCATTTAAGAAATATTAACATTTTCAATGGCCTCTTTTAGAAATTTTGTGTTGATAACTTTATTTAATTTGTGTTTGAAATACATTTAAAACAATATCATGTAGATGCATTTTACACATTATTAAAAATCATACAAATATATATAAGATTAATCTAATATAGACGTGTAGTAAAACAAGATAATTGAAGGTAGATAAAGTAGTAATGTTAGACGTATAAAAAATAAAAAAATATACGTTTATAGGGCGGACATTTTCACGTATATATTGGATAGCATATCATCCATACGTATATTGTAGTACATAAAAAAACGTATTTTATACCAAAGTGAATTCGTATAAATTTACTACAACTATAAATCTAATATAGACGTATAGTAAAAACGTTTAATTTTAGGTGGATAAATTCTTAGTAATCGACGTTTATATATGACAAATAATATATGTTTATAAGGCGGACATTTTCACGAATATATTTGGTAGTACATCAACCGTATTCATACGTATGGTAATAGCTAAAAAAATACGTAATTTATATCAAAGTGTGCTGTCTGGGTAAGGTAACTTTTTACTAGTACATAGAGAATTTCAAGCTGATTTATGTTTAAAATTTATAATAAATATTTTATCTTATAGAGAATACATCTTAATTTTAAGGACAAGAAATAGGTGCCTATCTCTATGCAAGGTCAAAAATACACCAAGATATTTCCTTATTTACAGATTTTTTATATATTGGTTGTTATTAGTAATAATTTGTATTTAATTGAAGAAAGGAGCTGTGTATGCAGAAAAAGTAAGTAATAAATTTATAGTTTAAGCAAATTTTTATTGCTGAAAAGTTGTTTTTCACTCTATTTTTCAATTGCTTTAATGGATCAGCAGTATAAAATATTACTGTATTATCTGCGAAATCCAGAATTTCACCATTGTAGTTGATCTAAAATAATTTATTTATGTACAAACTGAATAAAAGCGGACCTAATATAGTGCCTTGGATCATATTAAATTTAATGGTCATAAAATTATTGTATTGTCTGTCTATTCTTACATTTTTCATTCTTTCATTTAAATAAGTGTTAAATAAATTTAATAAGACTGGCCCTGGCAGAACAATCGTAAACAGTGTTTACATCAGTGTCAAAATTTATTAAATTTTCGAAAAAAAAAAAACAACAAATGTGTTAATTTTAAAGCTGTAAGTGCATTTTATAATCTTTTCCAATAGAAAATAGATATATTCTTGAAAAAACACAACCCATATAAAAATCATTAATTACAAGATGATTAAAGGCTACATGCCTATCTTATCAGCATTGAAACAGGTCCGAATCAAAGTTTACGAACATTTTCCAAAAAAAGGCAACAAATAATTCTGTTTCTTCTCTCACATCAATCTATCTTTACCAAATCTTATTCAAACATGTTATATCAACAACAGTTTCCAAAAAAATATCAAGCGATTATCTTCAATGCAATTGATAGAGCCCGTCTTTAAAACCTTCGATTCCTTTAGGTATAGTACAACCAATAAACATAATATTCTCATACTATCAAATAACAGAATTTAAATGTATCTGTCAACGAACAAAATACTCGAAAAAATTATGAACAGTTAGGTAGCAATTAACTTGTCTTTCAAACGTCCCTCCTAAAATGTCCCATGATATAAACAGCCCGGAATTGAAATATTAGGAATAATTCTTGTTTCAGCTATAACTCTCTTGAGAATCAGTTTAAACTTAACAGAATACTTTCATATACTTAATTTCGGAAGACAAGTATTTATATATCCTCATAATTTTGAAATCCCAGATTACCTAAAGAAAAGCTACCAATACCAATTCGGAAAATTTGTTCCAAAAACCTAAACTATCAAAAATAAAGAAGTTATATCTACCTAAACAAAATTATTTATCGATAATCATTTATTGGTTTTTGTTCTTAATTATAAACAATTATGTCTACTTATCGACAGCGTATAATTTTAGACCTAGAAAGTTTTTTATGATTTTTTTATTTTAAAAATTTATGTACATTAGTTATATTGCTCCTCGAAAGTAAAAAGCTATAAATATTACTTAAGTTGTTTATGTCAGCTTTTTTGTTTAAGCAGTTTGAAGAACTGTTAATACAACTCATTTCTAAGAATAGTCTTTTAGAATAGTTGTTTCCTTTTTTCAAAATTTAAACATTTTAAAAATTCATCATAAAAAAAACTTTTCTTTCAAAACTCAATTTAAGTAAAATTTTGATTTCCGTTCGTCTCACACGCATTCATTCTCTTAAAGTTTGTCCTTATTCATTGTTTTGCTTTCTTAACAAAATCAACTTTCACTTTACATTTAATTTGTTAATTAACACAATGTTTTCTTTCATTTTCCCAAAAATAATTTTGCTTCATATATCTACATCAAGTTTAAATAATAACAAAAAAATGTTGGTTACTTTTTCTTCTTTCTTTTTCCTTACCCCAAAATATAACTAAGTTGTTTAAGTTGGTAACACTGTCATTAATTTAGTTGGTATCTTGTCTGTCATCTAGCATTTTCAAAATTTGTCATTGAGTTGATCAATCAAATTCAAAATACACAAAAACCAACATTTTTATCATTACTATCAGATTATTTGGTAATTTTTTAAAAAAATTAACTTTTATTAGCGAACCTAAAAGTCACAGTTGTAGGGGAATTTTGAAATAAAATATTTGATGTCGGTATTAAAAATGAAATAAATTATCAATGTTTTATACATTAGTGTTGTGATGTCAACTATATTGGGCACTTGTAACTTTTTGACCTCACGACAAGTAAGTCATTTAAACAATTTTAATTATAATTTTAAGACTAAATATTGTATTTATTTTAGTATCTTAATAATGGAAATAAACATTTTCAAAAGGTTGACGATGATCAAAGACTTTTACTAAAAATTTTGGCCTAAAAAGTAATAAATCTTATTGGCGGTTAAATCTCCAGGATAATTAACAGTATAATAATTAACCTAACGAGGATATTTACATAAGAAAAGCCCCAAAGGAATAAATAAAAAACAGAAGAAATAAATCCACAATTTTAAATAACTTTTGGAATATACTCTGTATACTAATACGTTATACTAAAAATTTTGACAATAAATAAAATAAATATTTGTTAGGGTTATTCTCACGGTATTCCGAATAACAGTTAATTAACAGTATAGTCAACGTATCGAAAGTAATTTTCAAAAACAACAGGCTGCATACAACTTGTGTCATTCTAACATCTTAAATATTTCAATCGGCATTACTATCGGAAAGCAATGTTTATTTTTCTTGAGACAATTCAGAAAAAACTTGTGAGATCGATGAACGCGTGTGGTGATAATTCAGGAAATTTTGTTGGATTATCGGAAAGAGTAAACTTGACTAATATTTCACCTGTTTAAATTGTCGGTCCTTGATAAATAGATTACTTTTCAAGAGATACATTTTAACACAGTTGGTACGGTGACGGATAAGAGAGCAACGTTATCCCGTGGTCGACGGCGTACAGAGAATTAAAGATTTCACTAATTGACGGAGTAGTGAAGGGTATATTGACTCTGGGTACCTTGAGTATTGAGAAATTAAGTAGGCAAAACAGGCCTGTGCAATCAGAATCACTGGCCCTACTTTTATAGCGTAACTTTAGAAATTCCAAAACGGTATTCCGTACAAAGTTGAAAACTTAATTTACTTGGGATACAAAACTTGAACTCTGGCTTTAATAAATTGATTCGTTGAAAGCCTGTAAAATCACCGGCCTAGCCTAGCCTTTCTTACAAAACTTTTGAAGTCCTAAAATGGTACGAAATCGGAATTAGTAATTTTTATCGGACTATAAAAATGATTTCTTTGCTTATATTTATTAAGCGGCCGTCGACTCAGAGAATAACAAAATAAATAATAATAATAACCGCTAATATTGAAAAATTACTGCCTTAGTTAAGAAAAGTGTAAACAAACGGTGCAAATGAAAAAAAACCACGGGCAATCGAAACTATCTTGTACACGAAATAGAGCGGGAAGAAAAAGATTAAAGTGACGTCTCGCCCCAACAGATCCTACATCAGGTTCTATTCCAACGGTGAGGAGGCGTGTCATTGTCTTTAGAGCAACCTGCTTGATGTAAATATCAAGGGTAGTAAGACTAGGAATTACTTCCATGGCTCTGGTCGGTGTTGTTTTCATGGCTCCTGTTATGTTGAAATATGCTGTTCTTAGAATTTGTTCTAGTTTACGCATAGCTGTTAATTTTTGTGTATTCGGTACTCAGACAACTGCACCGTGTGTAAGCATAGATCTTATAATAGCCGTGTAAGTCCATGCGATGACTCTGGGAGAGAAACCCCAGATGCGCCCCACGGTTTGGCGGCATTGTTCATAAGCAATGTATGCTCATTAGACTCTGTTTTCTAAATGCTAGTTCCATGTTATCTTGATGTCAAAGGTAAGACCTAAATACTTCATCTCTGTTGCAAAGTTTAGTTTTGTGTTTAACAGTTCTGGAG